CTCTTAATATAAGAATTTTAATCAATTATATCGCCCTCACCTCTTTCGATACGCGGGTAAATACCCTTTATCTGTCCTTAAGATGTTTGAGCCCATTGTATTCGGATGAACAATAGGCTCAAACAACTCATTTCTCTAAATGTAATAAATGTTCTATTGGCAGCCTGCATATTGTTTATAAAACTGTCATAATGAGAGTTCTCTTCGTTATCCCAGCACATAGATGACAGGTGTTCTCTAAGCTCATTGTGGTCTGATAAGATAAAGTGTGGGACAATTAATGAGTTATCCCTACTATCATACTTCCACTCAGTACAAAATGTATTCGATTTATGGTTGCTCGTGCCAAGTTCCTCTGTAATCTCTAGGTTATAAGAACATAAGAATATAAGAACATAAGAAAGAAGGAACACTGCAACAGGCCTACTGGCCTTTGCGAAGCAAGTCCAATTCCCCCACTGGCTTAAGCCATTGCCTTGACCTAGTGAGGTCAGACACATCACTTAAGGGAGGAGCACAGAATCCGACATAGTAGCACCAGCTAGTCAAGTCCAACGAACACCCACCAACACCTACTTATGTATTTATCCAACCTTTTTTTAAAACTATGCAACGCCTTAGATTCTGTGATGGTACTCGGGAGCTTCTTCCACTCATCCACAACTACCGAACCAGTGCTTTCCTATAGCCTTCCTGAATCTGAATTTTTCCAATTTAAAACCATTGCTGTGAGTCCTGTCTATGTTAGACATTTTTACCATTCCATTTACATCCTCTTTATTAATTCATGTTTTCCATTTATACACCTCAATCATATCCCCCCTAATTCTACGCCTTTCTAGAGAGTGCATATTCAGGGCCCTCGGTCTACCCTCATAGGGAAGATTTCTGATATGTGGGATCAACTTTGTCATCGTCCTCTCTATGTTTTCCAGTGCATATATATCCATTCTGTAATACGGTGACCAAAACTGCACAGCATAATCTAAATGAGGCCTAACCAAGGATATATAGAGTTGAAGAACAATCTGAGGACTTTTATTATTTATACTTCTTGCTATGAAGCAAAGGATTCTGTTAGATTTACTGTGAACACTTATGGACTGTTGTCTTATTTTCAGATTACTGCTAACTAGAACTCCTAAATTCCTTTCGCAATCCGTAATATTAAGATCCACCTTATTTAGTTTATATGTGGCATGGTTATTTTCCTGTCCAACATTCAGAACTTTGCATTTGTCTATATTAAAATGCATCTGCCACTTCTCTGACCACAGCATCAGTCTATTCAAATCATCATGAAGTGCTGTAATGTCCTCATTAGAATGAATTGGACGGCCTATTTTGGTGTCATCAGCAAATTTGCTTATTTTGCTATTTATTCCCTTATGTTTGTCGTTTATGTAGACTGTGAACAACAAGGGGCCCAACACTGACCCCTGTGCAACGCCGCTCGTGACGTGCCCCCAATCTGATTTCTCTGCTTTAATGCAAACTCTCCGCTGCCTATTTGTCAACCGTGCCTCTACCCAGGAAAAAATTTCTCCTCCTATTCCGTGTGCCTTAAGTTTCCTCAACAGCTCTGGAGTTTACCTGGAGAGAGTTCCGGGGGTCAACGCCCCCGCGGCCCGGTCTGTGACCAGGCCTCCTGGTGGATCAGAGCCTGATCAACCAGGCTGTTGCTGCTGGCTGCATGCAAACCAACGTACGAGCCACAGCCCGGCTGATCAGGAACTGACTTTAGGTGCTTGTCCAGTGCCAGCTTGAAGACTGCCAGGGGTCTGTTGGTAATCCCCCTTATGTGTGCTGGGAGGCAGTTGAACAGTCTCGGGCCCCTGACACTTACTGTATGGTCTCTTAACGTGCTAGTGATACCCCTGCTTTTCATTGGGGGGATGGTGCATCGTCTGCCAAGTCTTTTGCTTTCGTAGTGAGTGATTTTCGTGTGCAAGTTCGGTACTAGTCCCTCTAGGATTTTCCAGGTGTATATAATCATGTATCTCTCCCTCCTGCGTTCCAGGGAATACAGGTTTAGGAACCTCAAGCGCTCCCAGTAATTGAGGTGTTTTATCTCCGTTATGCGCGCCGTGGAAGTTCTCTGTACATTTTCTAGGTCGGCAATTTCACCTACCTTGAAAGGTGCTGTTAGTGTGCTGCAATATTCCAGCCTAGATAGAACAAGTGACCTGAAGAGTGTCATCATGGGCTTGGCCTCCCTAGTTTTGAAGGTTCTCATTATCCATCCTGTCATTTTTCTAGCAGATGCGATTGATACAATGTTATGGTCCTTGAAGGTGAGATCCTCCGACATGATCACTCCCAGGTCTTTGACGTTGGTGTTTCGCTCTATTTTGTGGCCAGAATTTGTTTTGTACTCTGATGAAGATTTAATTTCCTCATGTTTACCATATCTGAGTAATTGAAATTTCTCATCGTTGAACTTCATATTGTTTTCTGCAGCCCACTGAAAGATTTGGTTGATGTCCGCCTGGAGCTTTGCAGTGTCTGCAATGGAAGACACTGTCATGCAGATTCGGGTGTCATCTGCAAAGGAAGACAAGGTGCTGTGGCTGACATCCTTGTCTATGTCGGATATGAGGATGAGGAACAAGATGGGAGCGAGTACTGTGCCTTGTGGAACAGAGCTTTTCACCGTAGCTGCCTCGGACTTTACTCTGTTGACGACTACTCTGTGTTCTGTTAGTGAGGAAATTATAGATCCATCGACTGACTTTTCCTGTTATTCCTTTAGCACGCATTTTGTGCGCTATTACGCCATGGTTATACTTGTCGAAGGCTTTTGCAAAGTCTGTATATATTACATCTGCATTGCTTTTGTCTTCTAGTGCATTTAGGACCTTGTCGTAGTGATCCAATAGTTGAGACAGACAGGAGCGACCTGTTCTAAACCCATGTTGCCCTGGGTTGTGTAACTGATGGGTTTCTAGATGGGTGGTGATCTTGCTTCTTAGGACCCTTTCAAAGATTTTTATGATATGGGATGTTAGTGCTATTGGTCTGTAGTTCTTTGCTGTTGCTTTACTGCCCCCTTTGTGGAGTGGGGCTATGTCTGTTGTTTTTAGTAACTGTGGGACGACCCCCGTGTCCATGCTCCCTCTCCATAGGATGGAAAAGGCTCGTGATAGGGGCTTCTTGCAGTTCTTGATGAACACAGAGTTCCATGAGTCTGGCCCTGGGGCAGAGTGCATGGGCGTGTCATTTATCGCCTGTTCGAAGTCATTTGGCGTCAGGATAACATCGGATAGCTTGTGTTAATCAAATTTTGTGGCTCTCTCATAAAATATTAATTTTGATCTTCGACTCTCAGTCTGGTTAGCGGCTTGCTAAAAACTGAGTCATATTGGGACTTGAGTAGCTCACTCATTTCCTTGCTGTCATCTGTGTAGGACCCATCTTGTTTAAGTAGGGGCCCAATACTGGACGTTGTTCTCGATTTTTTATTTGGCTCTGATGTGGAACTCTATCGAAAGCTTTAGTGAAGTCCATATACACAATATAATCAATACCATGATCTACCTCCTCAGATTCCTTAGTGAAGAAAGTTAGTAAATTCGTATGACAGGAACGCCCCTTTGTAAAACCGTCCTTGTTAACCAGAACTAAATCAAGCAGGTTATTTCCCCTCGTTGTTTCTGTCAAAACTACTCCAAGAAACATTCCTGAACTACTTCCACGCAGTCGTTTGACACAAGCTTCCCAGTCATGGAATCTCAATCAACTGAACTACAATTAAAGTCTTCTATAATTAATACGTTATCATCCCATTGTGGCCTTAAAAATTTTTTTCATAAAGTACTCTCCCATGGTGCCTATCCAAGTTAGGGGGACGAAACATCTCATCCAAAATTAATTTTTCATACCTTTCTACCCACGCAGACTTTGAGTGTATTCTTTCAGTCTTTATTCTCACTTTTTAAATGCTCTCTGATATGTAGTGCCACCCTACCTCTCTTCTCGTTACTTCTATCATTATGGAATAACTTAAAACCGTGAAACTGACATTCAGCAGATATATCCCGCTACTTCATATTAAACCATGTGTTAGTTATGACAAATACGTCAAAGTTACAAGCACTATCAACTAATGTCAACTCATCCATCTCGTTTCTTGTGCTAGGACTCTCTGTATAATATATTTATAGAAAGCCTCTTTTCTCTTTTCCCTTTCTGCTCATATCTGGTTCTCCACTATCTCTGTTACTCTCATCATCGCCTAATGCCACTGGCTTTCCAAAATTCATTAATAATTCTACCTCATTCTACATTTAACTGGTTTTCCTATGCATAGTCTATGTTCCCAGTAAGGCAATCTCGCCTGTTTCACGGAAATCCTTATTTCTTCTATTCCATATGCTTCTACTGTCCTCATCATCCTCTTATATGGAAGTCTATCAACACCCTCCGATGTGGAACTTTATCAAAAAGCTTTACTGAAGTACGTATACTCCATATCATACTCATTACCATGATCTACCTCATCCAATAATACCTTAGTGAAAGAAAGTTAGTAAATTTGTAAGGAAGGATCGCCCTTTGTAAAACTGTGTTGAAATTCAGTAATTAATTTATGTCTTTCAGTGTTGCTTCGAATGACCTTGGCAATTACTGATTACATTAATTTTCCCACAGTGGAGGTTTGGCTTACTAGTCAATATTTCAAAGCTATGGATTTCTCAACAGGTTTGAAGAGAGGTATCAGATTTACCATTTTTCATTTATCTGACACTTTGCCAATTTGTATTAATAGGTTGAAAGTTTTACCCAAAACTTTGCTTTATAACCCTTGTAAACACTTCATCAGGACTCGGGAATCTGGTAGGTTTTAATCTATCTGCTTGTCTGCGAACCAATGTGGCCAGAATTTTCAATTGGCTGAGGTAGGATTAATAAGGCAGTCGTATAATTCTAAATATAATAAAATGACTTGAATATCCTTATGTTAACAATGAAATAATAATTTACTCTTTTGTTAACTTCAGGTTTAAGTGGAAGATGAATAAGCTGCTGTGGATTTTGGTGGTAGTGGGTGCCAGCAGTGTGTTAATAATGGTGGCAGCAGATGGCACCACTGACAATGCTAGTTTTCCTGAGCTCTTATGGGCAGGACTTGGCTTCCAAAACCGAAACTGTCGTGAACTGCAAGAGCATGGTCACAAGACAAGTGGAATATACACCATCTATCCACATGACTGCTGCCCCAAACGTCCTGTCCGTGTCTACTGTGATATGGACACTAATGGAGGAGGATGGACTGTTATTCAGCGTCGCGAAGATATTCTGCCAAAGGAAGACTTTTATCGCACCTGGATGGAGTATGCTTTAGGCTTTGGTAATCTCTCCGGCGAGTTCTGGCTTGGCCTTGAACATATCCATGCCCTCACTGATCAAACTCTCAACCAGATACGATTTGAATTAACGGATTTCGACAACAGCACCCGGTGGGCGCAGTACCAGTTCTTTTATGTCCATGACAGGAGCTCCTTATTCAAGGTAGAAGTTAATGGTTACACTGGAGATGCTGGTGATGGCTTCAGTAGCGTCAACGGTCTGAAGTTCTCCGCGAAGAATTACGATCTAGACACTTATTCAGATAACTGTGCTGTAAGGTATGTGTGTTAAATCCATTTGCACTTATTTATTAATCTTTTATATATGAACATAAAATCAGTAATTAGAAACTGCTTGAACAGATACTGCCAATAGAAAAAAATATAAATAGGTTAAGTTTCATTAAGGAATATTATGTTCAGTGACACCAAAACACTAAATTGTAGAGTCTCTAATTTCAAAATCAGCATTTGCTTGTAAACTTTTTTAAATCTAGAGAAAGAAATACACAAAATCATATAAATATTTCACCTTGACAAATGCAGTTCAGAAGAATCATAATCAAATTAATCCTCAGAAATAATACAGCAAATTTTAAAAAATAAAGTTAACATATTGCCTCATTCTTACTCCCATAGTAATCCGAGCCTTATTATAAATAGAATACAGCAGTGTTGAAAATTTGAAGCCGATCAGGAGAAGCTTTCTCAAGCCACTGCATGAAAATAAAAATCTGGAATTCTTAAAATTATTTGCAAATGGGTACCTATCCACTCCAATAGTTCCAAGAACTTTCCACTACTTATAGAACACCAGTATTCAATGAAGAGTTCTCATGTTACAAATAAAAAGTAGTAGAAGAAAAGACCATTTAAATTTTTGTGTTTTTCTCACATACGGGTTGCAGCAAATTTCTTGGTTAGGTTGTGTTAGGTTAGGTTAGGTTATGTTATGTTATGTTACGTTATGTTACGTTATGTTAGGTTAGGTTAGGTTAGGTTAGGTTAGGTTAGGTTAGGTTAGGTTAGGTTAGGTTAGGTTAGGTTAGGTTATGCTATGTTTGGTTAGGTTTGGTTAGGTTAGGTTAGGTTAGGTTAGGTTAGGTTAGGTTAAGTTAAGTTAAATTAAGTTAAGTTAAGTTAAGTTAGGATAGGTTAGGTTAGGTTAGGTTAGGTTAGGTTAGGTTATGTTAGGTTATGTTATGTTATGTTATGTTAGGTTAGGTTAGGTTAGGTTAGGTTAGGTTAGGTTAGGTTAGTTTAGGTTAGGTTAGGTTAGGTTAGGTTAGGTTAGGTTAGGTTAGGTTAGGTTAAGTTAGGTTAGGTTAGGTTAGGTTAGGTTATGTTAGGTTAGGTTATGTTATGTTATGTTATGTTAGGTTAGGTTAGGTTAGGTTAGGTTAGGTTAGGTTAGGTTAGATTAAGTTAGGTTAGGTTAAGTTAGGTTAGGTTAGGTTAGGTTAGGTTAGTTTAGGTTAGGTTAGGTTAGGTTAGGTTACATTAGGTTATCTTATGTTATGTTATGTTATGTTATGTTATGTTATGTTATGTTATGTTATGTTATGTTATGTTAGGTTAGGTTAGGTTAGGTTAGGTTAGGTTAAGTTAGGTTCGGTTATGTTAGGTTCGGTTCGGTAAGTTAAGTTAGGTTATGTTAGGTTAGGTTAGGTTAGGTTAGGTTAGGTTAGGTTAAGTTAGGTTAAGTTAGGTTAGGTTAGGTTAGGTTAGGTTAAGTTAGGTTCGGTTATGTTAGGTTAGGTTCGGTTAAGTTAAGTTAGGTTATGTTAGGTTAGGTTAGGTTAGGTTATGTTAGGTTAGGTTAAGTTAGGTTAGGTTTAGGTTAGGTTAGGATAGGTTAGGTTAGGTTAGGTTAGGTTACATTAGGTTAGGTTAGGTTAGGTTAGGTTAGGTTAGGTTAGGTTGGGTTAGGTAATGTAGGTCAGGTTACGTTAAGTTAGGTTAGGTTAGGTTAGGTTGGTTAGGTTAGGTTAGGTTAGGTTAGGTTAGGTTAGGTTAGGTTACATTAGTTAGGTTAGGTTAGGTTAGGTTAGGTTAGGTTACATTAGGTTAGGTTAGGTTAGGTTAGGTTAGGTTAGGTTAGGTTATATTAGGTTAGGTTAGGTTAGGTTAGGTTAGGTTAGGTTATGTTAGGTTAGGTTAGGTTAGGTTACATTAGGTTAGGTTAGGTTACATTAGGTTAGGTTAGGTTAGTAGTTAGGTTAGGTTAAGTTAGGTTAGGTTAGTTTTAGGTTAGGTTAGTTAGGTTAGGGAAGCCTGTCCTCTGTGCATAAAAATAACTAATTATAACCTACCACACCTGAAAAGATATAAATACAAGAAAAAAAATTCTGCAGTACTAAGAGGAAACAGCACTCTCCACGAACAGCTGAAGTAATATAATGAGATTTTCACTGCTTAAGGAACTTTAATCAGTCACACATTTGACTGTCTTGGCAACAGTGAAATGTTGTCTGTATCAGTGTGTCATAGTAGAATTATGAAAGCTGTCTTGGACATCCTTGAGAAAAGGTTGGTCAAATATTTTTGTTATTTAAAGCAAAATTATGCAGCACCATTTCGAAATTTAAAATGTCAGTATTACATATGTACACTTTATTAACAACACGAACTTTCTTCTAAGTAACATACACGAGTGTTGTAATTTTGAATGTGATCAGAAGAGGCTTTCCGAAGTTTTTGCTTTAAAATGATTGTCGTAAATTAGCTAAATATAACTGAGAAGAAGTCAGGTTCACTTGCCTCTGTTTATAATTTACTAGAGTTGAAAATTTGAAGTCGATCGGAAATGAAAGTCTTGGAGGAAGTTAGTGGAAGACTAAAACATTGTGATTAACCAACTTTGGTATAAAAGATACAACTCGAATATCACAGAATTTACAAAAAAAAATGCTTAATGAGCACCTACACAGCATTAATTAATTAAAAGTACTTATAATTAATATACATTTGCCCTTAGGTTTGAACCCGATAGGATGGAATATCCTTTATTTATTACATGGAAAACAAATTTGTTTAGTAATTTGGCAGAAAATTTAGACAGCTCAGAGTGAATTCCATGATTTCTTTCAATAAAGATCATCAACAATGAATGTCTAATGAATGTCAGGAAATACAATTTTTGGTAATTGATCCGAATCCAACAATTCTGAAGTTTGTAACAATGTGAGTAAAATTTCAAATTTGCACACACTCAGACTTAACTTATGAAGCATCATCATTCTTATCAAGTCCATCAGCTGACATAATTTTTTTTCATACAAATTACAAGACACCTTGTTTAGCTAATGAATGGATACTAATTCCCGGGTTAATAAAATAGGTAATTCGATATCACTACAGCTCAACAGCAACACAAATCTTACATTCAACTAAACACATCAATATTGAAGCCGCCCAGAAAGGCTTTCTCCGGTTGTCACACATTGTGTCACAAATATTTTCAATAATTTTATTATGACAATTTTTTTAATCTGCATGACAAAAATCTTACTAAGTAATATCTTAAAAATCTGAAGCTAATAAATAATATTGCCTTTATTATGAGGTTCTTAATTACAATTTGCGTTATTTGGATAAAATCCACAATATATTATTATACAAATAAAAGTGTCGTCAAATTGGTATCAACACATTCCAGTAACAATCCCAACTAACTCTTCTGAATGTTTGAAGCCAATCAGATGAGTCATTCTTAAATTATTGCATGCAAATAAAATTTCATGAATGTACTATTTAACTTTGATCATAGTGTCAGTAGTTGCATGAACCCTTCCACAGTAAACTAGCATTGAAAAGTTGAATCCGATCTGATGTGTCGTTGTTAAGCTACAAATGAAAGTATTGAGGAAGAAAAGATAACAAAAAATATCAGTCAAGCACTTGAAGTTACACCGTCACGGATAATAGTGACTTTCTATGTGCTTAAGAAATCAAAATTGTAATCACACACTAAACATTTAAGAGAAATAAAATTTTTATCTTTATCATAATTTTTAAAATGTGAGTTTTTAAAATCTCTCAATGTTCTATAATCATCTGCATTATATTTCAAACTCTTCATAATTCTGTAAGATTTTTTTTTTAATTTCTTAAGAAACTTCAATTTGCTTGCCTCTTATTGCAGCCCAATTTCCTAATCAACGAATTTCACTGTCTTTTTTCATACAAGTTTTTAGTATCAGATTATTATAAATATTCAGACTTCAATATTTTTATTTCAGTTTTCATGGTGCGTGGTGGTATGGAAAATGCCATTCATCCAACCTGAATGGTAAGTACCATAATGGTGCACATGAATCTTATGCTGATGGTGTCAACTGGAAACTTTTCCGTGGTAATCACTACTCCCTCAAGAGGACAGAGATGAAGATCAGACCAGCGTACTGAATCCTAACTCACTACACCATACCCGAGGTTATTACTGAGACCTAACTCAGTACAGTAAACCCCGGCTTAATACTGACACCTAACTCACTACACCAAACCCCTAGTTATTACTGAGACCTAACTCACAAGAGCAAACCCCGGGTTATTACAGAGATATAACTCACTACAGTAAAACCCGGCTTATTACAACACCTAACTCACTACACCAAACCGCAGGTTATTACTGAGACCTAACTCACTACAGTAAACCCCGGCTTATTAATGACACCTAACTCACTACACCAAACCCCAGGTTATTACTGAGACCTATCTCACTACAGTAAACCCCGGCTTATTACTGACACCTAACTCACTACACCAAACCCCTAGTTATTACTGAGACCTAACTCACAACAGCAAACCCTGGGTTATTACCGAGATATAACTCACTACAGTAAACCCCAGCTTATTACTGACACCTAACTCACTACACCAAACCCCAGGTTATTACTGAGACCTAACTCAGTACAGCAAACCCCGGGTTATTAGTGAGACGTAACTCATTACAGCAAACCCCGGGTTATTACTGAGATCTAACTCACTACAGCAACCCCCGGGTTATTACTGAGACTTAAATCACTACAGCAAACTCTGGGTTATTACTGAGACCTAACTCACTACAGCAAACCCCGAGTTTTTACTGAGACCTAACTTACTACAGCAAACCCCAGGTTATTACTGAGACCTAACCTACTACAGCAAACCCCAGGTTATTACTGAGACTTAGCTCACTACAGCAAACCCCAGGTTATTACTGAGACTTAGCTCACTACAGCAAACCCCGGGTTATTACTGAGACTTAACTCACTACAGCAACCCCCGGGTTATTACTGAGACTTAAATCACTACAGCAAACTCTGGGTTATTACTGAGATCTAACTCACTACAGCAACCCCCGGGTTATTACTGAGACTTAACTCACTACAGCAAACTCTGGGTTATTATTGAGACTTAACTCACTACAGCAAACCCTAGGTTATTATTGAGACCTAACTCTCTACAGGAAGCCCCAGGTTATTACTGAGACTTAACTCACTACAGCAAACCCCGGGTTATTACTGAGACTTAACTCACTACAGCAACCCCCGGGTTATTACTGAGACTTAAATCACTACAGCAAACTCTGGGTTATTACTGAGATCTAACTCACTACAGCAACCCCCGGGTTATTACTGAGACTTAACTCACTACAGCAAACTCTGGGTTATTACTGAGACTTAACTCACTACAGCAAACCCTAGGTTATTATTGAGACCTAACTCTCTACAGGAAGCCCCAGGTTATTACTGAGACCTAACCTACTACAGCAAACCCCAGGATATTATTGAGACCTAACTTATTACAGCAAACCCCGGGTTATTAGTGAGACCTAACTTACTACAGCAAACCCCGGGTTATTACTGAGACTTAACTCACTACAGCAAACTCTGGGTTATTATTGAGACCTAACTTACTACAGTAAACCCCAGGTTATTATTGAGACTTAACCTACTACAGTAAACCCTATGTTATTATACACATTACATAAAGTTAATTCTTACTGGAAATTGTTCAATGAGTAATATTTGAAACAATGTTACCTGTAGAATTATTTTTATAATTCCCGGTTTACAATATAGAAAATAGTCTAGAAACAAAAAGTTGTTATTTGTTAAAAAGCAGCAAGTGTGGATGAACGTGTGCAAAATACACCCCGAGCAGAGCACAAAATTTTTTAAAGTCTGCTAATTAAGTCAATGCAATCGTTCTTCCATCTATTTATCTGCAAAATATGTGTGATCTAAAGAGAAGAAAAATCTACATGAGAGATATCCACTGTATGAGATAACTTATGGGGAATTAATGGGAAAGTATATGAAATGTTCATACCCTGCCCTGTAAGATGTTACTTATAGATGGTTCGGTCTCAAGTGTAACCTTCACTGTCTTGATCTGGACACTTCCTCACACCGCTGATGGACTGATAATTAATATTAGAACTGTAAATACTCTTGTGTGTTAATAACACTAAGCAAACATGAATTAGTAATTGAAGGACCATAAAGGATAATTCCAATGGTGCTCACTGTAGACATTTAAAGTTCTATTATACATTTAATATAGAATAACAACATTGCCAAATTAAAGGTTAAAAGATTTACTGAATTAAAACAGATTTACAGAACATAAACTTTACCGGACTTACCTGATATACAGGCGATGTTTTGCCTAGACAAAAAAAAAAAAAAAAAAAAAAAAAAAAACTCCCAGGTTTCCCATCCATTATCCCAGCGAGGCATTGCAGCTTCGAATAAAATATAACGAAAATGAGTTTAGTAATTTCCTGGGAGAATGAAATCCACTTTCTGGAGTTTTAGCTAGTGAAGTCTCATTGTTGCTTGTGCTAGTATAAACTGTGATACTCAGCTTGACCTCGAGTTGTAATATTAAACAGTGCGGGAAGTTTAAAATCCCTATGAAGGATGAGAATAGGTACACTAATTAAAAACGTCTTTATGCTGGCAAGCTTTGCTACCTGGAGAGGGGACTCTGCTGTGTCCAAATCTTCACTCAAGCCTATGAATAATTCCAACAGTTTTAGCTCCCAGTAACCTATATATTTTCATTTAAGAAACTATGATTAAGTCAAAGAAAACATATCTGCTATTTAATTATGTTAGTCGTAGGAGAACAATGTGAAATAAATTGATAATAGAGCTAAATGGAAGGATTCAGACAAGGTTTGCATCACCTGCGTATTATCAAAATATTTTCTACAACACATTAGTGCCTTTCAGTTAATAATGTAAATATGGTTTTTTAACAAATAAAAATAATTAATTGTCTTATATATTAAAAATGCTTCTTTTTATTAAAAAAATTACTGATTCTCTGTCATCATTAAAGACTATTGACTCACATAATGACTAACAACATGATCATTGGTGAAGCCAGATATAGATACACAAAAATCCTCGAAAATAGAATTAATTTACAATTGTTATGGATTCCATCACACACTGGATTACTTTTTCGTGATACAGATGATACATTAGCCAAGTCAATTAACCTGAAGGAAAATGTAGAATATAACTTTGATTTATCTGTGTTTACCATTAGGAATAATATTAGAAGAGAAGTAAATAATGAAAATGAATGTTACAAAATGTAGCTAGAATTCTGAGTAACTCTATAACTCACTATTATAACATGAACGTAGATAAAAGTGTGTATGGAGCAAACTGCAATGTGAACAGATTGACTGATATAGTAGCCAAACTTAGGCAGACACAAAGATGACCTTATGCAAAGTATGTTGCCAACCTTATCTTCACTCTCTTTATTGTCCATTTATTTAGGAATAAAGAGAGAGACAGTATAATATCTTATGTGATATGTCAAGATATATCTCTTTAATAAAAATAAGATCAGCTATAGCTACAGCTATAGCTGATCAAAATATCGACTTGGATGACAGCTAATAAACTTACGCTTAACACTGACAAAACCTGGAGATTACCTGGAGAGAGTTCCGGGGGTCAACGCCCCCGCGCCCCGGTCTGTGACCAGGCCTCCTGGTGGATCAGAGCCTGATCAACCAGGCTGTTGCTGCTGGCTGCACGCAAACCATCGTACGATCCAGAGTCCGGCTGATCAGGAACTGACTTTAGGTGCTTGTCCAGTGCCAGCTTGAAGACTGCCAGGGGTCTGTTGGTAATTCCCCTTATGTGTGCTGGGAGGCAGTTGAACAGTCTCGGGCCCCTGACACTTATTGTATGGTCTCTTAACGTGCTAGTGACACCCCTGCTTTTCATTGGGAGGATGATGCATCGTCTGCCAAGTCTTTTGCTTTTCGTAGCGAGTGATTTTCGTGTGCAAGTTCGGTACTAGTCCCTCTAGGATTTTCCAGGTGTATATAATCATGTATCTCTCCCTCCTGCGTTCCAGGGAATACAGGTTTAGGAACCTCAAGCGCTCCCAGTAATTGAGGTGTTTTATCTCCGTTATGCGCGCCGTGAAAGTTCTCTGTACATTTTCTAGGTCGGCAATTTCACCTGCCTTGAAAGGTGCTGTTAGTGTGCAGCAATATTCCAGCCTAGATAGAACAAGTGACCTGAAGAGTGTCATCATGGGCTTGGCCTCCCTAGTTTTGAAGGTTCTCATTATCCATCCTGTCATTTTTCTAGCAGATGCGATTGATACAATGTTATGGTCCTTGAAGGTGAGATCCTCCGACATAATCACTCCCAGGTCTTTGACGTTGGTGTTTCGCTCTATTTTGTGGCCAGAATTTGTTTTGTACTCTGATGAAGATTTAATTTCCTCACTATATTATGTTTGGTAGCAGAGCAGAAGATGCGCAAATTAACATTAAGATCGACAACACTCTAATTACCAGACATAATGAGGGCAAATTCCTAGGCCTATACCTTGATAACAACCTGAATTTCAGCACCCATATCCAACACATAACCAAAAAAGTATCCAAAACGGTTGGGATCCTCTCCAAGATAAGATACCACGTGCTGCACGCAAAATGCCCTTCTCACAGTATACCACTCACTTATTTATCCATACCTCATCTATGCTATTTGTGCTTGGGGATCAACTGCAGCAACACACCTAAAGCTAATAATAACCCAACAAAAAGCCGCAATAAGACTAATCACTAAATCCCATCCTTGGCAACACACCCCCCCACTCTTCATAGATCTAAACTTACTCCCTGTTCAGTACATCCACACTTACTACTGTGCAATCTATATCTACAGGACCTTAAATTCCAATATTAACCTTGACCTAAAATGCTTTCTTGATAGTTGTGACAGAACCCACAGGCATAACACCAGACACAAACATCTCTACTACATTCCCCGTGTCCGACTAAACCTTTACAAAAATTCAATGTATGTTAAAGGCCCTAAAATCTGGAACACCCTACTTGAAAACTCTAGAACTGCAGACACATTCATCACCTTCA